TCTCACTGCTTTTTTTCTAAAAAAAAAAAAAGCATGCATATGTGCTCTTGCTGGCAGAAATGCTCTGACTTTTCTTCCCTGATTACAAATACGTTGCTAGGATGTGAACTTTGTACTAGCAGCAGTCTTAAGAGTTTAAGAAGCCTGTAGAGGGAAAATATTTCATCATACTGTAGACGCTAAGAAACCTTGCAAAATATGGCATGGATATCTGCTCTTACAGCTGAAGAAATGTTTGGAAAAAACAGTTGTTTGCCATGACTTCTTGTCGGTTTTGCTGACCTGGATGTTGGTTTTGGTTCATTGATTTGATCTCCCTCAAAACTAGCTAGTGCTGATTTTGGGATTTTTTTTTTTATGTGTAATCTTTTAAAAGCAACAAGGCTTCAAGGCTCTTCCTTTTTATCAATAGATCTGAGAGAACCTACAACCTTAGGTTTTAGGACAGCTTCCTAGTTTAGATTCTTCCTTCTATTATCTGAAACAATCAGTATAATATTTGCCTCCGTTTCCTGTATATCGCTTCATTCTTCTTGGAAGAGCTCTGGCTTCTGAGCATTCTGCCTTAATTTGGATTCAGGTGAAAGCATTCAGCTTTGAAAAAGTCAGTATGCTTCAAGTAAGACTTCTTAGTTCTGTGGATATGGGGTTCCTCCCCTCCACTGACCCCATATTTGTTCAGAGAGAGAACACAAAATAAAGATAGAAACCAACAGACGTTTAGTGTAGCAATTACAGAAAATACAGCTTTGTCATGTGTATGGATATTATTTTCCACTTTTATATCCTTGACAGAATGGTCAGTGAAGCACAAAAATATTTCCCTCTTCCTCCCATCCTCCTCCTTTACAGCACTTAAACTTCGTTATGCTGTTTAGACAACGTATTTAAAGATGCTGAGTAGTTAACTAAAAAAAAAAAATATCTTTTGAAGGATATGTTTGATACTTCCTTTTTATATTTAAATATTAATGTGGAATTATTTGACTTTGGTACTGACCCCATGCATCTGTTCACCTTACTGGGATATTTTACAAGGACAGTGGCAGGTGCAGGCAATTGCCCACTTCAGCAGTGCTTTGACATACTTGATCTGTTTCTCCTTCCCACAGGAAAAGCTTTGCCAGCAGAAGTACAATGTCTCCTGCATAATGATCATGCCCCAATACCAAAGGCAAGGATTTGGAAGGTTTCTCATTGATTTCAGTAAGTGTTTTATTTACATTTGTGATCCAGGGAGCTGATGGCTGTTACAAGAAATTGTAACATATGAAACTTTATTTAACTGTCTTTGTGGTTTTTATCAATAGATAATAGGATTTCTGTTTATATTTACATAGGATAGAAAAGCTCCCTGAAGTGAAAAACTTATTGCTGCTCTGTTATTGTACTCAAGGAAATTGAGAATGAATCTTTCAGCAGTAATATTAGCTCACAAAGCTATTACCCTGAATGAATTGTCTAAATTACTTTCCATTTTGCCTTGCTCATTAGTATGAGAAGAGGCAATTATTTGTGATTAAAGCTAAGAAGGTGTTAGTCCAAGGCACTTTCTTCATTCTAATATTTCTAACATATCTTCTTTTAGCTAAAGAACTGTTTTAGCCGAAGAATTGCAACATAGAAGAAACGTATTTTGATTTTTGTCTTGAAGTTCATCACTTTCTTAGTGGAAATTGTTACCAAAAAAGAAGCATAGGTGCTCATGGCTGTATACGTATTTGCTGCTTTATTTTGCTGAGTTGTCTGACCTGTTAGGAAGCTTCAGAGATGTTTGTTTAAGTATAAATTTATTATTTCCCAAGTGTTTAAGCTGCAACAAAACTCCAAACAAAATCATCTGAAGAAAATTCTCATCTAAGTGTCCTCAGTACTACTGAATCCAGCTTTCTACTGTAATTTAAAGGGAGCATGATAAGGAATTAGTGTGTATTGTATGTGGTTGGTTTTCACTCTTAAGTTTTTTAAAGCACTGTAGAGTTACGTGACAGTAGAGATAGTTAAGATAATAGGATTCCTGCCCTGAAGGTGAATGCAAGAACATTAAAATGCAAATAAAAATACATTGCAGTGTAATGGGAGGACAAAGAGTTCATAAACATACCAAGTACATCTCATCACTGTATGGCTTTATAAGCAGTCTTCACTATACCTCTGTCAGTTAGGTAAGGATGATTCTCGATTACTTAGTCCACTGTTGAAATGTAGCCATCACTGGAGCAAAACGCAACAGCTGTTCCATTATGAGCCTTCTACAACCTATTAGGAAAGGCAGTCAGAAGTACTGCATATTTTTGGAACTGTGGAGTGAAGTTTAAGGTTACTTAGGTAGAAATTGACCCTGTTTTAGGCTTAGGATCTCTTCTTGCAAAAGGAAATGACGAACTCTTACTGGGCACAACTGGTAAGTACTTCTAGGCTTTTTCTCAGTTTTCACTCTTGTGTCTTTCAAAAAAAATAAAAAAGCACTCTTCAGGCATTTTCCTGATTGAGATTGCAATAGCTATGTCTACAAAACTGAAAGCACAACCTGTGGATTCCACAGAAGTTCTGGATATGGGTATGCTGTGTCTCTTTGGATCTGTGCTCTGTCTGTTACTGTGCCATGTGTTACTTCATCTGGAAAAATCAGTAGGATGTTTTGTCCCTCGTATCCTCTGGGAAAATCTGGAAGCACATTGACTTGTTTGAATCTTTAGGATTTCTGTGAAAAACTTGCAACATGACCTAATGGTATCCTTAGCTTGAAGCTTATCTGGTGTTACTCTTACGCCTTTCCTCTTTGCAGAGGTGTTCATACCACAGGTAGAGGCTGCAGCTGTGTACATGCTGGGCATAGCCCAGAGACTAGCTTTAGCTTCTGCTGTAGCAAACAGACTGCTCACTTTGGGAGCACGCAGTCAGTCCTTCAGTACGTTTCCACAGTATTTTCCCTTTGTTTTCTGGACAGAGGTTCCCTTAACTAACTGGGAATCAGACTGCCTCAGTTTCTCACAGAATGAAGAACCAAGAGGTGACTGAGAAAATCTGGCTCCATAATGAGAGCGAGGTGGAAACTAAATTAAAGGTAATGAGAAAACGGCTTGTGACTGTTTTTCTCTAGGTGTAGAAAGGAAGGTTAAACTTCAGGGCTTATTTTCCTTGGTTGTGCTAATATCCTTTTGCAGGATGGAGGCTGAATGCCATTAGAATGGGGCAGCCATAGCCTCATCTGGACTGGTGAGTCCGAAATCTGTGTTTGCATAAAAAAACTTCAAAATCAATTATTTACTTTTTTCCTTGGAATTTTATTTGTGTTTCTACATCCTATATTGTGATTGACTGACTACCGTCTTCTTTGTACTTCATCCTTTCTGTTCACTTGTTGTCTCCTGAGAATAAATTGCTCTAACCGGCCTGATGAGATGGAACATAACAATACTCTTTTAAACTTGAACAGAGCAAATCTATCATAGTTTAAAATGTTGGGGTTTTTTTTTGCCAGCAACATTATCTAGATTGTCATGTTCTCGTAAAGTTATCGGAAGATGAGTTTTATGCTGTGAATGTGAAGTCTCTGTTTGTCATTCGAGTAACACATCTAAACTGCTCTATTTTGAATTTTGTGAAGCAGTCACTGGTACTTGTCTTTTTTATAACAGTAACCAGAACATTTTTTAGACTAAAATAATAAAAAAGTAACTGAGCAAGTAATTTTCAGAAAATTACAGTTACAAACCACAAAAGGGAAGGTCTCAAGAACTGTGTGCAAGCAGCTGACTGCTCACATTACTTTATATATATCTAGACACTTGATAGTTAGAAAGGCTGGAAAGAACGCAGCCTTAAGCCACTACACAACTTCTGCATTGTCAGCAGTCTGGTGAAAATGTAGTTTGTGGTACAGAATTTGCTTCCTTTTCAGTGAGTTAAATGCCTTTGTTGTTCAGATTGTGATGCATTCTTTTGTCTTGAACTAATTTAATCTTTACAGATGAGTCTATGTGGTCATCCTGTAACTTGCAAGGGAACATAAATTCTTTTGTTTTGCTAAAAGAAAAATAGGTATTTGTTTTCCGATCATTGATTTTCATCTTTTTTTCAACTTAACTTTTTGCTAAGTACATTTAAACTTATCTATATTTCAAATAGAAACTGATAATACCGTTATTTCTTACTCTGTAGACACCAACATAAAGCTTTGTGTAAGACCTATCTGTATCTCTCTTCAGGAATCTATACTTTCACTTGTGGAAAAAAGATTTTTAGGAAGAGTACTTTAACTTTTGTGAGAAGAAGGCATACTGTAAAATGCCTTGAGTTCCCTAGCCTGAACATCTTCAGCAAAAATTTCATGTGTAGTTTTCTGTATGTCATTGGTAATTTAAATAGAAATGTTGTTTTTAAAAACACCGTCTATGTGTGTCTGTGTCTGTTCTGTCTTTTAAAGCCTGGAGATTTTTATTTTTTTTTTTGTAGGGAAGTTAAGGGGTTTTAACTGTTACAAAAACTTGTTGGGCTGTTAGCAATAGGAAAAAGTTTAATTCTAAATATTTATCAAATGGTGAAACTGTTGATGTGTAAAATTGAAGACTTGATACTGCTTCATTTTCCTTAATTCACTTTACTGTAAGATAAAATCAGTTTAACCTGTTATATTTTCTAGAAGCATGTCATACTGAAGGGAAAATGGTTTACATGAAGTCTTCATTTTGTTTACACTGAATATGCTTTAGTAAACATTATTTTATAATAGTCCGTTGATTTTTTTTTTTTTTTTTTGTATAGGGAACCTAATTTTTACTTTGAGTATATCTAAATGTACAAAAGCAGTTCCTGCAAATGAATAAGGAAGGGTCTTAGTTGGCTTGTTATGTTTATACCTCCCTGCCTTTTAAAGGACAAACTTTGTGCCAAACTTGTTAGGTTTGGGCTTTTTGTTTTGTTTTCATTTCCTTGTTCTTGTGTTCTGTAAGGTTTACTGGATTGCAATTGCGGGGTCGTACCAGAGGGAGAAAACTGACTTCTGCATGAATCTTTGGTATTTGATGTCAATGAAATTTTGAGCAAGCAGACTCCAGCTTCAGTTGATCCAGAAACAGACCGTAGAGCAGGCTTGTATAGGATCCCTTTCTGGGTTTGTTTCACTTCATGTCCATGTATGAGTCCATTTGCAGTGATACACAGCTATTATTCCTGTCACAGGGATTATGTATGCTTCTGGTTGGACAAGTCTTTATATGTCCTGTGTCCATTCAGCCTGCTTGGCTGGTGTGGTTTTGACAGTGCAAGCACTGAAGCTACGATGTTGTAGCTGCTCCTCTCTTGTGCAGTCCCATTTCTTTTATAAACTTGAGCAGCTTCTCTATATAAGAAGTTTTTCTTTACTTTCTTAATTAGAGCTCTTAAAGCCTAGAATCTTCATACGCTTTCTGTTTCTATTCATTAGGCTGCAGTGCCCAAAAATACTAGTATTTCTTTATATGTCACATCTAACACAGATTTCAATATTATTAAAATGGAATACTGCAGTATTTCATCTTTGTTTTCTGTAAGTTTAAAGCAATCTTTTGATTTGCACTTCCTCACAAACCTCATCACATCAGACCCGTATTTCTGCTTACTGCATTGCAAATTCCATGCTGGAGGCCTAGCAGCAGTTGAAGGAAAAAAATACTTGTGACAATATTAGGATAAACCTTTCCGACTGTGCTGGCTAATAATGGTGGTGGTTCATTTGCATCATCGTAACAACTGGGTTCAATGCTGAGGAGCAAGGTCCTTGATAGCCTTCTGTTACTTACCTTGAGGTTGTTTCTGGTCCAATTGATTGCAGCAGTTTCTTCTTCCCCTTCAGAATTCCTTCTTTTCATTTGGCTTATCTGTTAGCTGTGAAATGATTATTCTTGCTCTGAGAGAGGAAGCCTCTTTTAACGATGCTGGGATTCTATTTGGGCTACATATGTTTTGTTTTGTTTTGGATTTGTGAGGGTTTTTTGTTTCACGTGTCTGTATGTTTGGGGAAAGCTGGTGCTGACTTTTTGACCTTTTTTATCATTTAAAGCGTGCAACTTGTAATGGCTTTTTTTCTATTAGCTGGAACTAACCTCTGATTCCCTTCTGGGATGTGTAGCTCA